AGAAGAATGAATGCAGCCCTTGCGCTATTAAAAACAAAAAGCTTCTTACTTCCAGGAATGCATTGGCAAGACTCCACAAGAACAAGATTTAACTTTTGAGCATGGCAGTGGACATACAGGGCTAATGGGTGGTCCTTACAAAAAAAAAAAAAAAAAGAGAGGAAAAAAAACAACCCTAAAATTCATTCAATAGTACATTAATATTATCTTATACTTTATGCCTGATTAAATTCTTGCAAAACTCTCAACGTGCAAGTCACAATACATAAGAAAATATGGAAGTGTTGTTTGGCTTTTACAAATTGTCATTTAGATCTTTATTTAACCCATATGAGTTTTGCTTATGTGTGAAGGTGTCTTATGATTCATCGGTCAAACATGAAATTCATTTGTTTTGCCTGTATGTGAGAAAGGATTCACAAAATCGTGTTATAGAATGCATCAGTCTATTCTCTAAGTCAGTCAGACTAGTTGTGCCCTTAGATAAAGAGGGAATTATAATGATTTTCCTCAAATGGTCTAAATCCAGATCAGTTGTACTGAAAGTGTCTTTGCTAATTTTACAGAGTAAATAGCAAAAAGCAAACCTTCCAGATACAGGGGGGTTTGTAGCCTTTTTTTCCTGTATCTATAAACCTTGTTTTGTTCCACCTTGTGAATGATGTCACCCCTTTATTTAGATGACTTAATATGCTGCTTAACTTGCACTGTAGTCCAAGAGCAGCTATGGGAATAACATTGTTCTGTAGCTACTTTCCCATTTGAAAAACCTCTTAAAGCTGTTATCCATCTGCATTTCGCTCATCGTGTGTGAAACATCTATACAGAAAACACAGTAAGCTCTCTGTTTCTTACAGCTATATTCCAGTCTACAAACCAATTTATAGTCCAGGAGAATTAACCCCTCCTTTTATTTCTCTTTCTCTCTCTCTGTTTTTTGGGGGTTTGGGGTTTTTTTTGTTTGGTTGGTTTGGGGGTTTTTTTATTTCAAATCATATTTTCTAGACATGCTTGCCCATTTATCCCAACTTGGTGTGATAGCTTGAAAGAATCCCCCATCTTCACCTCCTAGATGTCTGGGTGGAGAACATTACCTTTTGTTAAAATTACTGAGCTGGGCTGTGATAACTCTGTCTATTATTTAAAGATTATTGGTGAAATTATGAGCATTGAAGGTTAGATACCAGTTTCTAAAAAAAAACTTTAAAGTTTGGGGGTTTTATTCTAGTTCAAATTATGTCCATTCTCAGTCTCATTTCTTATGATTCATGAAGAAGCTCGTACTTTTGTCTAAGAGACTTAAGGCAAGGGAGAATGTTGTGCCAAATGCAGCACCTCAACAGCATTGCAGGTTTCCCCCCCAATATAAACCAGATTTAATTTGCCTTGTAACAGAGCAGATTTTTATCTCTAACTATAGTCACTCCCATTTGGCATTCTTATTTAAGATCTTCCTCTGACACTGTGTTAAACAGAAACAGAATAGGGGAGTTCAAAGGGAAGAACTATTACTGTGCAGAGTAAGAGCCTAGTGACAGAGAAAACCAGCTACACAGGACATTTAATACTAGCTTGAACTAAATGCCAGTTACTAGCAAAGGAATAAGGCTATACTGACAGAGAAAGAGGGAATCAGAAGCTGCTAGTATTGTCCTCCTATTATTACATTCTAGAATTTGGGTCCTGATTTTCTCATATATTTGAGTGGTACAACGGGAAGGAGCTAAATTGGAGCTAAATGTAGTCCGATGACAAATATCTCAGCATGGGGAAAACAGTTGGTTCAGTCCATTCTGCTCACAAGTCACTGTACTCCCATGTTTAGCCCATTTGTAGGAAGCTATAGAAGCCACAGAAGAGATAAGACATATTGCTGCACTGTGCCCTACTGCAGGTGTTCTCAGTGGGCATACAAAATTAAACCAGCACTCCTCTCAGGCTAAAGTAACGTACACATAGCCATAGACCTGTTCTCTCTAATTCTCAAATAATGAGGAAGCTCTAATGATCTAGGGCAAGAAAATGTAATCCTAGTAACAGGAGGGTCTAAAACTTACACACGATTTTAATGAAGTAGGGTGGAACTTCGATAAAACTATTTGTCCTTTCCAAGTGAGACCCAAAAAATTAAGCCAAATTAAGTTAAAGCTAGTGCTGAGGAAATCCTTCAATTGTTTAAATAAATCCCTCTCAGAAGAGCCCCAACATGTCCAAGGAAGTGAGGAACCTTCTGGAGGAGGTATCACAGAAGGTAAATCAGAGCAGAGCATTTTTAAAAAAAAATACAGCAAGGTGAAAGATCTAGATTATGCAAATGCAAGAGTAAAATTAAACTTTTTGTCTGAGCCAAGAAGCACGTTTCCTAACATTTGGAACTCCGCCAATCAAATTTCAAGTAAAAAGTCATATTCCTCCTACACACAGCCAAAATATCTTCAGCAAACCTGATTTGGTAATCTGATTTGACAAGCCCTGTTATCTACAGAACACCCACTGCCATTAATAGCTCCATTCATTTCAAATCACTTTATACAACCAAAAAATGGGTAAAATTAAGAGGAAACACACCTGTTTAATTGTAACCAAAAGTATGCATAAGAACAGCTTATACTGACTTCTTTTTCAATTGTATTCAAATGTGCCTACAATCAAATCCCATAGTATTTATATATAAACTGTACAGCACACAAGCCTACTTAGAGAAGAGAATATGAAAAAAATAAAAATATAATTTCTAAAACAAATAAATATACTAACAGGTCCTGTATTATAACCTTACAATAAATACTAGGCTTTGTCATAACAACAGAGATAAATGCCAACACTGAGAAACTTCCGTAGGGATGACCCAAATACTCAGGCTGTGATTTTACAGCACAGTATTTTCAATGGCTATATCACTGAGTAACAGAAAATTGAATTGCTCTTGGAACCAAACCGGGGGGGGGGAATCTATCTTCATGTCCTTGAAGCCACTTGCTTCATGTAGCTCTCTCTCCCCACTACTTCAGCTGCTACAAGAAGGCACTGGACAAATCCACTGTGGAGGTATCGAAAGAGAGAGCTAACTGCACTAATAACTCTGTCTTGAGGTAAGAGAGGAAAGGTGTCCTCAGACTCAGTAAGAAGGAAGGAACACTCCAAAAGAACAGATAGACTTCATCATCTTGAAGAATAAATGCTAGTTTCCCCACTACTGAATACCACAGTAATACCCACTTCTCTCTTTTTACTTCCCTTGCTACTGATGAGATGGTTTATTTTTTTAATTCCTCCAAAGTTTAAAGAAACTGCTAAACTGCAACAAGAGTGAAAAGAACCACAGCCAAGTAGGTATCATCCAGTTCCTCACCAACTTCATTAAACAGGGTAGGGAATGAAATGAAGGTGTACAGGCAAAATAAAGCACTGCTTTGCATTCTCTGATAAGTGAAGTGACAAAAGGGGATTTTATGAGATCTTTCTCTCACAACTCATATTTTAGACTGCAGAGTCATATAGTGCAGCCAGTTAAAGGACAACAGCAATAGCCAAGGTTGCTAGGTTTGGCTCAAGATCTGAGCCGTTTGTTCCCTGGTGTGCAGGACTGAGAGAATATATAGTATCTTGGCACCTGCTGTTAGCAGCTACTTTAGGGAATTTAAAATTTAATTAACCTTCATAGTAATCCATACAAGATTTTATGTAAGTTCGAAAAGACCATGTAGAAAATTCAACATTTCTATTTTTGTTACCTTTCTACTTGTTAATCCATGGACAACCGATGCCAGTTGAAAAAAGGTGCCACACTTCATGTAGCTAGTTGTTTGGAAACACTTTAAAACATAAGCAATTTGTACCTAGTGAATTGGGAAGAATCCCATGACTAGCATGTTTGCTCTTTTCTTAAAGCGTAAAGGCCACACTGCTGACAGCAAAACTCTCTAGAATTACAAGACCATCCAGTCACTGCTGCTCTGACAGTACCGTGAGCTGAAGTTCCCCGAGGCTCCACAACCCTGTTAAAGAGATACTATTGCATGGGTTATTCAGTACGCCTGTAGTTATGCTCCCAGAGCATCAGAAAATGTTTTGAAGCCCCTCTTCCTACATAAGTGCCTTTTAAAAGTAGTAATTTACAAGCAAAATGGGAAAAAAGTAGAAACGTAGGGTGGCATATGGCCAAACTTTTGACTTAATTTCACCACAGGTTGCTTTTTATTTACAAGCGGCTAATCCCCTCTCAAGCTACACAATAGAGCAGCCATTGGCAAAGGCAAGCAGATAAAATTGGCATGCCTCTGTATTGTTCTTGCTAATCTGAACCATTAACAGAAGGGTGAGAAGGCTAGTTTTGTCATTTAAACAGGCTTAAATCCTTTCTCCAAATGAGCTTTTGTCTACGTAGAAGAATGCATCTAGGAAATTTAAGGGGTTTCTGTTAGTGTTGCGTTCTCAAGTTGACTTGGCTACAGGAATACCAACTTGTTTATTTGGCCCTCATACTGTAAATGCAAGAATTATTTCCAGCTGTCAAAACCAAAAGGGGTTCAACCTGATTAAATTATTTCTCAGAGGTGAAACAGGATGAGATTATAAAGTGCTAAGAAGCAACTATTTGAAATCCTGAACTGCACCTGTGCAACTAAATCTCCATTTATACAGGTGCTTTTCAAATTGGATTTGAACCTTTAAATTCCCTGATTCATCCCCTGAAAAACCACAGAAGCTCAAATAACTAATGAAATTCAGAGACAGAAAGGCTTAAAATAGTTTCAAGCTGTGAAGTAAGGCCTAAGACTAACTACGTTCTTTGATTCATTGTTGATGCGACATATCAAGCATAAACATAAGTTGCACAACGCAAATGCCAGAGGTCATAGGGTAGCCAGTAGCTAAGTAATTATTTTTTCTTTAGCACAGGAGAGGTCATCACCTGGCCCATAAACACAATGCATAGCTGAAAACCCGGGGAAAAGAATGTATTGGTTAGCATGATCTGGTTTTGTTTTGCTTTTTACCTGGCACATCTTGCGCAGATATTCAATGTGACCTTTGCTTGAGGCTCAGCCGTATGAGCACTTCGAGTTTGATTGAATTTGCTCCCAGAAGACATCACACTTGTTACTCCTTCCATTCTTAGATCATCAAGATCCTCTGCAACAGGACAGAATGACTGGATGAACACACGATTAAATTTTGTAGCAATAAAGGTACTTCACCTGTAGAATCACTAAAGAATGGAACAACTCAAAAATCAGGAAGAAAACACACAGTTACTTGTACAATAATATGAAAAGACATTTGAGAGGATTTTTATTTATATATATTATCACCCTGTTACAAGGGGTTCCTTGAAAAATATTCAGTATCATTTCCACTTCAAACAGTGCTGCATATTTTTTCAATCTTTATTTCTCTGATTCATTTATAAAAAACTTGTCATCAAGAGATGCTGTCCAATAGCTCCATTTGACATAGGGCATGTCGAAGAGAAAATTCATTTTTTTTGAGTGTATGCTCCTTCTCTGATTTTTTTCATCGTCTATTCACTTAGCAATGAAAAAATATTGCTAAACTAAAAGTGCTCTGCTAAACCCAGAAAATGTGAAATGGATACATATATCACATTGAAAGAGACCATAATGTGCATACTTATACCCACTACATTGCTGTAATATTTGAGCAACTCATAATAACAACTGAATTTTCTACTACTGTAAAATCATTCCCATTTTGCAGGAAGACAGCTGAGGCTCTCAGAGAATTTTTTGCCCGGGATCACTGGAATAGTGTAGCTCAGTTAGACTGTAAATGAATTCTTTTGGTTTACAGCGAGGACATTCTTTAGGGATAATCTGTATATTTTTTGCTAACATAAAATAGGCAAGTTCTGTATATCTAATGTATCCATAAAGCCCAATTTTCAGTTGTTTATAGTTTTGTTAGGTTCTAGCTGAAAGGTAAACAAGCAAAACATTGACCAGCTGCTATTAAATGAGCACCAACGATTCTATGTAGTGACTGATGCATGGGGCTTATGGTATACAGTATGTGATCATCTAATTAAAATATCTTTCAGATAATGTATACACATGAATTTTCATATATTTATGTTTACAAAAGAAACCTAATGTTAAAGGATCTGAGTGGAGCAGAAAGTGCAGAAAGGCAGACTTTAAATCCCGACATCAGAAGGGGTAAAGTCACAGAGAACTTTAAAATCAGAAGAGGCAATGTTCAATTAGAATTTAAAATACAGAAGTAGTAATTATAGATACACAGTGGAGTACCAGGCTCCTCTTCATACACAAAAGAGCGAGATACAACCTCCCGAATCATTACCTGAAATATTTCTGGTTGTCCTCTATAGTTCACAGACACTACTGCTTCAAACTCCGGGCAGCATGGTCAGACTGTCAGGATTATGCCATGTTAACAACACTCTTTGTGGGAGACACCCATTTTAATAAGCAACATCCAAGAACAGCAAGGCTAAACCTAAATGAAATTTTTGTGACTAAAGTCCTTGAGCTAGAACTTCTTATCTGTAATGTTTTATTTTACTGCTTAAGAAGACTTTCCTCCCTCCCAAAATTCGTTGGCTTGGTGGTATAAATTGACAGTTCCACTGAAGTTTCTAGCATTGATTTACACCGTTTCTACACCTTTTTCTTTAAATTTCATCTACGGTTAATATACAAACTAATTCAAAGTACTTGGAAGGCTACACGATAAAGAATTATGAAATCAATCATCTATGAGTCATTTCAGAAAAGGTATCACATATTCAGAACACATTATGTATTAAAATAAATACAGTATAATTGTGTTTTAAAGAGGTGTGAAAAGTTCCATATTTTTTAACAGATGTAAACCACTGGATGGATTATAGTTTAAATGAAATTGAAGCATATGCCTCAGGTTTTTTTTCCCCTAAAGAGATGTGATTTCTTTAAATGAGCTTTTCCACTGTTCTCTGCTTGATTAACTTTTGGCTCTCTGACGACTAAGACTGTTTCAATAGAGCGATGACATAGGCTGCCCTCTATCATACCTTTTCTATTTTAATCTGTATATCAAAAACATGCCTTTTTTCATTTTTAGTCAACTACCAACATTTTTCTCTCAAGAGAAAATTAAGTGAAACTTTGTGCAAGAAACATGGATTACAGAGGTACCTATAGTTGTAGCTAACAGACAAGTAGGCAGAATATTATACAGTATTGGTTTATTGTCACATGCTGTTAGACCAATAGCAGTAATGTGCATGCTAAAATGCAGATTTTAAGAAAAAAAAAACTACATCATATACAATTGTTAATTTTTCTCAAGGAATTTTCATTGATCTAATTCAGCATTGGATGGAATTTGTCCATGGCAAGCTACAAAAAGCTGTTAATATTCCAACTAGACGGAGAAGTATAACCCCATCTACCAAATCCAAAGAATAACTGCAGTGTTTGATTTAACTTTGGTTACTGCACTTCTGCCTCAGTATTGAATGATTTCAGTTTCTTCTGGATGCCTCAAATTTACAGTGCAGATACTGTACTTTCTTCTCACTAAAGCAATTGGGCTTTGAGAAGCTCCCTGGTTCCCAATATCCGTAACTTGGATGGGAATTTTTCAGTAGTGAGCAAGTTTACGTGCCATCTGGCAATCTTCCTGATTGTCCACATTCATTATTGAGGGCTCTTAATTAAAAAACCCAACAATAAATCATACAGTAATTTCAGTACTAAACTCTGTGTGTGTATATATTGTTCAATAATTGATGCATGTTTTGCAGGAGTATTTGTTCATAAATAAGGATGTTATTAAAATAAATACAAACAATGAGTGCCATAATGCATTTTAAGGATAAAAAAAGGTTTTCAAAGGTTCAGATGTTTCTATGTAACATCAGAAAGAATCAGTCTTAGCAAAAAAAGGGTTTCATTGAGAAGTCAATTCAGTTACAGGGTCTGGAACACTGCATCTTTTCTCTTTCTTTGTATTCTTTGCTAGACCAACTAGTGATGATACAGCTGAGCAGTTCAGTGATTTTATTGAGCAGCAATGAGGTAATTCACTGAGAAAAAGAGAGAAAGAAAAGCCAAGTTGATGACTGCTTATGTGATGGAAGACAAGAATACTGTGAAACTTCTCAAATCTTCTTAGATTTACACTGTACACCTATCTTTGTGCAGTGATAGCCTGGAAGTTCACGTAAATGAAACAATCTCACTTGTGCTAATAGAATTTTATTATTTTAATGCATGACTGTGCACTGTATTTCTTTGATTTAATGTTAATTCTCTGCTATTCTCTACATGAATAGGGTATGTGAAGACCCTACCTTGGCCATATAGCAATTTTCATTAAGTATGTCTTGTGTAGTAAAAAAAACCTACCTACAAAACAAACAAAAAACCCTTACATTTTTCTCAAATCAGCAATTCACCGAAATAAATTCACACAGCTGCAATCTTCATGCATTGCTATAACAATACACGAAAATACTTAAAAGTGAGATAAAGCTCACAAGTGTAGTATAGCATAGCACAGAACAGATGTTTTCCATATTAATAATGCTGCACTAAGCTAAATTCTTTGTGGGTTTTTTTATAGACAAGTTTCATCAAAAAGGGAAGGGGAAAAAGGGTATCTATTTCAGCTAAACAAGAACATAGCGCGGTAACAAGGTAATGTTTTTAAATAGGTCGTTGTTTGTAACTATTTACTTCCTTTCTTTTTGGGGAGGAAGGGTTGGGGAGAGGGAAAGGGGCACTAATGCCAAGTATTCCAGAAACTGTGCAAGATTGCTTAATGTCTTAGGATGAGAGGGTGTGGAATCATCTTACAAACATCTCCTACAAGACTCACACACCATTCACTTTAAGGACAGAGCTCTTCTTTTGCAAAACTCCTATTAAATGCAGTGAAAGTTCAGATGCACAGAAGGCTCATGTAATCAGGTTATGTGCTACATTGTTTGATATGATCCAGTCACTTTTGCCTCCTTCCTCCATTATAAAACATGTAGTAATTTCCCAGGAGTAATTCAAGAAGTATAAGGTGCAAAGCCGGAAAAACTCCTGGTTCATCTTTAGAGAGGTTATGACAGCTCAGAATTTGTCTGTTCAGTCTAATGCTAAGAAAAGCACTGAATGTTTTCACGTGAGAGTAAAAAATTCAGATATTGAATTCTGATTTATGTTCTTGCAGGCCACCAGTCAATTCTGATGTACCAGTAAAATAATGCCTCTTTCTTTGAAGCAATGAATTTCTCAAGGCAGTGTTCTTACATCATGATAGACATTGATGTATTCCATGTACATAGCATTGATTTGTCAAGGATTGTTGACTGAAGCACAGATTTTAATATGTTCTACTACTCTCATTAAAAAAACAAAACAAAACAACCAAACAAATCCCAAACAAACAAAAAAATCAACCCCAAAAAACAAACCAACAAAACCCTACTGCTGATAGCAGTTCTGCTTGCATTCCAGGAATTTATGTCCATTAAATTCCATTGAATTTATGGCTTTATATGTCATACTTATATGTTTCTTATTATGTTAACCAATCCTCTCTGTCTAAGATACATTTTCTTACCAATATCAAGAGCGCACAATAAAAATCCCACCTTAATTCCAAAAGACCTGTTGGGACAAGCAGGAATTAAGCTTCCAGACAAAGAAGAACCATTAATCTAGAACACCTGATGCTCCACTCCTGAAAATGATGTTTAATTATTTACTTCAACAGAAGCAAAACTGGAGTTATCTTCTGCAATACATTAGCTACAGGACATCTCACTTTGTTTCTTCCAATTCATCTGTGACTTTGATGTCATGGAGTAGACAATGCTGTTAGTCTGGTACATATGTTCTAATACGTCTTCCTATTAACATCTTCAAATATCAGAATTTGGCCCAGTTCAGACCCATGCCATAGACTGTTGATGCAAATATACTAAGTAAATCCACCAAGAGACTTTCACTCCTTCAAGCCATTTTAGATTCCTGAACCCAATGTTCTGAAGACATCTTACTTTATAAGCATCTCAACTTGACAATAAATTCCCTAAATGTTTGTGCTTCCACTGATGGATGCACGCAAAACCAATTGAAACATGATGCTGCTATGTCCTTGAGTTTGCATGTCCA